ACGTCAGCTCGGTGAACTTGACTTGTTGGATGGTTGCGGACTTGCGGTTACACTTCCACACATTTTACATTCATGAGAGTCTCGGCCTCTCCCGAGGTTTGTATTCGGGTTTCTGCTGCTTTTGTCGGTTCAAACAGGCTAACGAACCTCCAGAGAGACGCGGACTGAATTACATTGCTGCGTTTGGTGTCTAACAGCGTCGGTTATAAGACGCAAATGTGGTTTATCTAACACTTTCGTGACAGCTTGTTGTGGAGGAGCGCTCTTGTTAGGAAGCCCGACCGGCTTTAAACCGGTCTAAAGTGACACTGCTGGTGGACACAACCCCCCGGACGCTAGCTAACCGACGGGCCGTAGCCGAGTCTTGGTTGGTGTTACCTTTGGTCACCCGCGGAGGTCTCCAGCCATGGCAGGAGGACGGACGGTGCCCGGACTGGTCGTCCTGATGTGGATTCACTTCCATCGCTGCGGCTCTTTCAACCTGGACGTGGACAAACCCTCCGTGTTCTCCGGACCGCAGGGCAGCTACTTCGGCTTCTCGGTGGACTTCTTCAAGCCCCCCAACAACCAAAAGTAAGGTTTCCAGCAGAGAGTGGTGATGACGATGAGGAGGGTCCAGTTTGTGCCCCTGAAGGCGTCATCTTCACCTTTAACTAGTTCATTTATTCTCAGTTTCTTATTTAAAACCACTGGTGGAAAGTAGCCAGTACTCTCAATACTTTATCTGAGTATTTTCGTATCCTGCTACTTCATACTGTGACTTCACTGCATGTCAGAGACAAACCGTGTACTTTTTACTGCACAACATGTACCTGATAACTTCAGTTCCTTCTCAGAATCAGCTGCAGCATTAAAGTGATGAACACAGTAACACATCAGTCACTATGACTGTACTCCAGTAGTATCAGAGAAATTACTGTGACACGGACCGTTCTGCAGAATGAGTAGTGGTACTTTACTTGTACATTTACTTAAGTAAAATTTTGAATGTAGGACTTGTATTTTTTTACACTGTGGTATTAGTACTTTAAGTAAAGCATCTGAGTATTTCTTACACTACTGCAGTAGTTGTACAGTACTTGAGTATTTCCATTGTACTTTTTAAAGCACTACATGTATTCTACAGCTGTTGTTCCTTTTTAAATAGTGAATTAACATTATCAACACAAACCATAAAAAAACGATGCATTAGCAGTACCACTACGGTTTCATTTAAATAACTGTGATCCAAAGAGCTCACGGTATCTGATAGTTCACAAAAGCTAAAAGGTAAAGGTGTGTGCAGCAGAACTTCTCTCAGCTTTGTCTGGTGGCTCTTTGGAGGGGCCGGAGCCCTTGGTTGGGAACCACTAGACTACATTAACCAGCTTAGTTATTTATGCGTAGCAGCACTGTTAGTAACAGTGATAATTTCTCAGGGACAGGAGTTTTGCTTGCCTGTCAGTTTTACTTTTGCTTTTGATATGTGAAGTTTGTTTTGTTGATAATACTTCTGTACTGGAGGATGTATATATGCAGAATGTAACAATTGTAGTGCAGTATTTATGCCTTGTTGTATTTTTTGACTTGGGTACAAGTTTAGAGTACTGCTTCTTCCACCATCGGTCCACTGCATAACACGTCCAACTTCGGGCTTTTTGGTGACGTTAAACTCACGTTTGTACTAGAAAAAGCCTTTAACATAGTAAAACATGAACATGTTTTGGAAGTTGCACTCAGTCGTGTGTTCACAGATGAGGAGATAATTAAGGATACTGTATAATGTTGTATCTTCTCTGACAGCAGGTTTGTAGAGGCTCGCCGTGCGTCCACAGTGCACAGAAGTGTCAAATATTTGGCTCATCTCACAGCTTCATATTAAAAAGAAACAGCGTGTACACGGTTAACATTTTTTTCTTGGGAACAGGAGTCCTCTGAAGGCCCTTTTGCTTTGCAGCCAAATAGAGGAGATAAACCCAGCTTTGCTCTGTGAGCAAGCCAGGCTGCTGTCAACCAATACTGTGTGTTCTTCTTCAGCTCTGCGGTGAATGCAGAGGAGAGCTGTAGGCCTACGATGTCACTACTTTGTTTTATATTTGTGATAGTAGTGCACGAGCTACAGCTGGGTGATGGATGAACAACATCGTGTCTGAGGAACCGGGGACACGAGAGCAACGTCTAAATGTGTGTGTGTGTGTGTGTGTAGCAACCAGAAAATCTGTATTTATGAAAGCTGCACACACAGTGATACATCTCTCCTGTTGTGTGTCCGTCCGCTCGTGCACGTGCAGGCTCATTTACATGCAGCTCCCCCCCTACAGTAACATGGATGTACGGTATTAGTGTTTTTACCTTTGACCTAATTTAGCATCATGCAAACTCTCTTGGCTGACCCTGTGCTGATGGTGATTGTCAGACTAACTAGCTGGCTGTTTGATCAGCAGAGCTGCAGCTCCTCATCACGTGACTTCTTCTCCTCTCGTCAGGTCAGACGTCCTGATAGGAGCTCCTCGGGACAACGCTTCATCCTCGGGCAGCATCGTGGAGAGAGGAGCAGTGTACAGCTGCCCCTGGGGCAGTGCTTCCTCCTGCCAGCAGCTGCAGTTTGACAACACAGGTACCAAAACCTTGCCTTTATCTTTCACACCTGATGGCAGAAGGACAGCATCCTAGACACCCTGCTACTGTCCCTCCCTGCTCTACCTTCAGCTGTGGGTAGCTTGTAATATAATGCAGTGAAGTTGTCATAATCTAAAGTGAGAGAGCAGTGTCTGGGAACATAATGAAGAACTGAAGAGTCGTGTTAATATAAAGCTTTCTCAGATTCCTTTTTGTGGCCCCACAGGAAATAACTCAGAGTTGTTTTTAACTGTGTAAATCTGTGTCAGCGCCCACATGTCTGGTGCTGTGCTTGTTGACAGCTGGTTTCTCAGGTGCTAAACAGTCAAACCAGTCTGAACTGTGTGGGTGGTGTTAGGTTATTTTTTAGTTAGATAGATATTCAGAGATTTGTTGTCTATGAATGTTTAGTGCAGACTGCAGGCACGTCAAGGTTACAGGAAAACTGCTGTTAGTGTCAACTGTAATGCTAGTCTTAATATTTGTCTTAATGTGTAAGGTTATGTCCAATTGTTTTAGATACACACCACGAAAACAACAGTCACGCACCTTGACTTTTCCTCATGTTTTGGCTAAACGATAGAGCAGCTGCAAAGCTTGCTTATCGGGTGACGTCACGGTTCGACAGCCCAGAAAGGATTAATAAACCAGCACGGATATATTTTTTATATACTCAAGTGGTCTGAGTCGTCCCTCTGAGTTCCTGGTTTGAAAGAACCGGATGAGGCTTTATAATGGTTTTCAGCCTATAGTGGGATAAAGAGTGGCGGCCTCTTCACAGTGTAACAGAGCCATTTCCATGGGATTCGACACAGGTTATTGTAAGTCAGCTTAGAGAACAACTGTTTGTCCATAATGTAAAATACTGACAAATTAATGAGCAAAAGTCAATCAGAAGTTTGAATAGGATCTCCCGTTTCTGTTTATTAGGCGTGACCAGTCAGCTCCATCATGATTAGCTGCGTCATTGGATTCAGATGTTGCTAAATCCTGATGGGGGCTCACTCTTAGTAAGAATATTTATTCAGCCTCCATGATGAAAAGCTGCCTGCTCCCAGAAACCTGTGTCGACTGACGTCAGCATCTGCAGGACAGATGCAGTCTGTCAGTGGTTACTGTTAGATTAGTGCACAGTAACAGCTCCTCCCAGAGAGCATGGCCGATGTGCACGTGATGTCTGGCTGAATGAAGTGTTGTCAGTTCACTGATTATCAGCTCGCTGACATGAACCTCCGCTGATGTTCACACTGTGCGATCATACACTCAGGGCTTTGGTGGTACTATTCCAGTACAGGTTTCTTAGAGGTGACAGCCTGCATACATGTTGCACAGGGTGGGTGGGGGTGGGGCCAAGTTGAAGTTGAATAAACACTGCAATGTGTTTGTCCTGTTGAAGTCTTCTAATGTGAAGTAGCAGAAACTGTTGTGTTATCATCAGCAGCTGGTTCAGCTCTGCTCCAACTGTAGGATGGAGAGCAGTGAGGCTGGTTTCAGTCAGAACACTGGATGACAGGCTGCATTGTCTCCTGTCGCTGCTTCATATGTGGCTCTTTGAATCTAGTGGCGGAGAGGTGGACTCCACCACTAACAGTGAACACTGCTTTATAGAGGAAGTTTAAATATATTGAACAGCTGTTAGGGACAATATTCATCCCATGAACAGCATCAAAAACGGGGTTTGATTTAATGAAAATCTCACACTCACAACCGTAAAAAATAGAGTGGCATGGTAGGACCGAGCCTATAACACAGCAGCCAGTCAGCTGTGTCTAACCACGAACATGGCGACACCAGTGTATTAAGGCTTCAGCTCTGCCTGCTGCTGTTGTCCAATGTCAGGAATGTGCGCTCAGCAGGAGCTGTGTGGGCTTGTCTGTAGACTGTGAACCACTCCCAGTCTTTCAGGCGCATGTAATGCAAACATAAAGTGTGCACTTTGTTTAGAGTTCTTGGCAGTGAGAGGCAGCAGGAGCACAGGGCTGTCTACAGCAATGCAGTGATGTTTCTCCTTTGCCTTCAGAGGTGTTTGTCCAGTAACCTGTCCCCTTTAGTAGCGTCTCAGAGCTGGCCCCATCCCTGTGTGACCCCAGCAACAGACACTGAGCAGGAGTCTCGGTTAAACAGGCGCCGTGTTCACACTGGCTGTGAGCAAACAGGCAGGGACATGTCCTCTCTGCTGCTTGGTGCTGTCTGTGTTACAGTAGCTAGGGCTGCAGCTAATAACTGCTTTTGTCAGTGTACTCAGTATGAAAAATGCCAGTCACAAGATCCCAGAGCCCAAGATTTTCAGTTCATGGCAGAATAAACAGAGAAAAGCTGCCATGGAAGGTGCTGATCAGGGTCTTTCCTGAGAAATGATTGAATTTGTTGCTTGCTCTTAGTAGATGGCTGTTTAGTTTTCTGACCAGCTAAAATCTTGAACAAATGAAGTGGGTCCAGTGATGGTATGTGAGAGGAGTCTCCGGCAGTGATGAACCTCCAGAGCCTGACCAGCTGACTCTGCAGCTCCCCTCTACTTCACACTGAGTCTCAGCTCATTGGTTGGTGTCTGGACCATGGCTTCCCTCTTCGGGTTCGCTCTCACCGCTCTCATACAGTTGATATTATTATTTTGCCCTCAGGAGCTGGTAGAGACCACAAACAAAGCTAGAAGACAGTGAACAGACCATCTTCAGGTCTTGAAAAGCACTGAATTCAGTTTCCTTAAATAACTAAATAAAAAAAAAAAATTAGGCCTTGAAAGGTATTAAAAAGTCTTAACTTCCTGATTCACCACCTCGGGTGGCTCTGGCCAAGCATATTTATCACAGGCCAAAATAATAGACTGCCTTACACATTTGCTTCAGAAGTTAAGTTCAAGTTATTGTTGAATTTAAACATAAAGAGGCCAGAGCAAAATTTGAAGCAAAGTTATTTTATTCCTGTACAATAATTAGCAGGGTGGCACAGTGTCATGGTGGTTAGCACTGTCGGCTCACAGCAAGAGGTTCTGGGTTCGAGCCCGGGGCCTTTCTGTGCGGAGTCTGCATGTTCTCCCTGTACCTGCGTGGGTTCTCTCCAGGTACTCTGGCTTCCTCCCATAGTCTAAACACGCACAGCTTAGGTTGACTGGAGAGTCTAAATTGCCCGTAAGAGTGAGTGTGTGGTTGTTAGACTCCTGACCTGTCCAGGGTCTCGCCCAATGTCAGCTGAGATTGGCTCCAGTCCCCCCATTGCGACCCTATTCAGGAATAAGTGGTATAGATAATAGATGGATCGATGTTAACTAGCAGTTAAGTTCATTAGATTCATTGTTGAATTAAAATTTACAAGCAACAGCACAACAAGTCTTGGTTACACCATTCAGGGACAAACAAACAAACAACAGTAAACAAAAGTAAATCTGACGTATTGTAAACCCACTGGATGCTTCATCATTTGAACCAACTTGAAGCTCCTCCTGAGACTCCTCACTGGCAACAGCAGTCATCAGCTTCTTTGTACGGTCCATGAAGTCTGGTCTCCTGGCTGTCAGTGTGGCACATGCGTGTTCTGAGGGGACACACCGCTGCTCTTCCTCCTGGTGCCTGTGGTTGTGGACAGATGATTGGTTCGACAGACTTGGACATTAAGTGCCCCACCGTGTCTATGCTGAAAGAGATTCAGCTGTGTTTTTCAGACGTGTAACCGATGCACTCATATTTTAACCACTCCACCTGGCTGTGTAACCGCGGCCTAAACATATTTTTATGCTTGGCTCAGAAAGCCAATTAAAGGCAGAGTAGGGGCAGGTATTCACAGAAGACTGTGTGTGTGTGTGTCTCAGACACATGCACATACAATATAAACTGTTCATGTGTGTGATGGCCCACGGGAAGAGACTGACTCTGTGTCTGGTTGTTTTGGTGTACAGTGGTACCTGGTGACTGTGAAAATAGCATTAAATTGCATTTTAAAAATGATAACTGTAATCATTTGGTGAACAGTGCAGAAGCTCTGGTGAATATCTGACTTAGGCTGGTCAGCATGTCCTGGTGAATGACTCCTACATGAACACACTGTGGGCTTTGGTTATCGCCAGGTATCCGTCTGTGCCTGTCTTAGTAGTTTGAATTGGGCAGGGCTCAGCTGAGATTAGGCATGGTGCAGTGCTCAGTATGGAGCAATGTTGTGGGTTGTTGGTTGTCTGATACTTCTGATCAGACCACTGAGCCACTCAGCCCACTGATGGTTAATACCAAACTCTGGGTATTTAAGGTACTTTTGGAGAATATGTGGGGACAGCAGGGCACTTATCAGCTGAAGAACCGATGGCAGGTTCTATTTTTGGACAAATGTTACTTCCTGATATTGATGTGTTACAGACAGCTTGGTCTGTTTCCTATGTGACAAGACGAAACACTGTGACCAACTGCTGGTTTCTAAAAAGAGGGATGACAAAGCAAAAATCAGGCAGGGTATGTAGGACAGCCATGAGCAAGCCTCTGCTGACAGTGTAACAGATTAAAACACTGGTGGTGCAGTACCTAGCTAGACTACATAACAATGGAAGCTTTTGGTGGCATTGTCAGAAATGTGTGTATTCAGAGGGGTCAGAATATTACAAACCCCTCTGAGCACGATGCAGTTCAATAGGACACGGTGGATAAGTGGGAGCCCGGTGTGTCAACAGAAACTGAACTTCGTAGGCATCAAAAAGGTGATTTTATGACCAAACAGCTGCACTGGATTTCATTGGCTGTACCTAATAAAGTGGACACAGCTGGATTGGTGCTGGTTTTCAGTGTGTCCCGGCACAGTGGGTGTGACAGGATTGCCTCAGATAAATCTCTGACTCAGTGAGCAGCTGGTGGAGGTGTTAGTACAGCACACGTCGTCTTCTCTGATGAAACACGGAGCCTCAGGGTTTCAGAGCCGCCGATCACCACGCTGCAGCGTCAGGCGGGACTCAGAACTTTCATAACCTGCCCCTCGTGTGACTCACTCCTCTGCCGGCAGGCATCGTTTGTTCCTATTATTCTGACCCTCTCATGTATGTAGCCGGGGAGGACAAAAATATAGAGACACCTCTGAATATAATATAGTCCAGTACAACACCTTTAGCTACTACCTCAGTAATAAACATGTAATTGAGTTTGTACAATTATGACAATTTCAGCAACAACTGAAACATTTTGAACTTCATAAACACAGATGTTAAGGCAGACGTTCTGCATTGAAGTGCATTCAGTTGTGTGTGTGTGTGTGTTTGTGTATATAGTAACTAAGATGTTCATCGATACAGGTGTGCCGGCAGCTATCTAATATCAGCTGTTGGGTTTTTCAGGGTAGAGTGATGGGCACAAAAGGTTAATTTGATCCATTTGAAATTAAATCCATCCCACAGTGAACTGTGAGAGCGTATGGGGCTCTGAGCACTTTATGATGTGACTGTATGCGCTTGGCCAGTTTGTTGATTTTCCTCTAATAACAAGACTTGAATACCTGTTGGATCACTTCACTCCATGTACTGATCCAGGCCTGTTGTGTCCATAAAAGGCAAATTTGCCGTACACGGCTCCAGTACCTCTAGTCGAGTCGACCGCTTGTACAGGATGTGTACTTTCATGCAGGCTGCAGCCTGACATTGGGTGTCTGCACTGCTCAACTGATGGAAACTGTTCACTGATGTTGTTCCCTCTAGCTGTAAAGCTGCCACCGAGTGGCCTAGTTAGGCTGTGTGTGTGTGTGTGTGTGTGTGTGTGTGTTTTCCTCCCACAATAGAGGCCTTTGTTGTTGGTTTGACCGATGGGATCGCTGGCCAGAGCTTTACTGGAGCAGAGAGCAGAGTTAACTGGAATTCAGCTGTGTGTGTTTAGCGGTTGTGTGTGAGGCATCGCTATGAGGACATTGTCTGGCCCTCACCCCTTCAGAGGCTGCGTGAGGGCTCAGACTTGGTTTCGGGGTTCAGCTTAGATTGAGGTTTAGGTTGGGGATTAGTTGTGTGGTTAGGGTTGGGGTGGTTGGAGAATTTCTCGGGGATTCTCACAGCTAGGAAGACAGACATGTATGTGACTGTGACTCAGTGTCACTCTGTCCTATTCTGGCTCTCTAACCACAATGCACCACAAGCTTTAGTTCCTGCTGGGTTTTTTTATTTTCCTTCACGAGTGTGAGCTGCCCCATTGTGGTGCAGTGTCTATATATATTTATATGTTTTAAGTATTTATTTTTCTGCTTTGTTGGTCGCAGCAGGAAGTGAGTGTTAGACAGATCTGTTGTGCATTCTTCATTCACATCCGTCGTGTTTGCTGTGTTATGTTTCTGCCTGTTTATTGAACTGACCGACTTTATACTTGGCTGCACACACTCACTTCATCATTAATCACCAAAAATGAGCACAAAGTACCAAACATTCACATATTCCAGCTTCTTAAATGGGAGCATTTGCTGCTTTTTTGTTTTGTATGATAATAAATTACAGGTGAAGTACTGTAGTTCCTGCTGGTTTTTTTTATTTTCCTTCACGAGTGTGAGCTGCCCCAGCAGGAAGTGAGTGTTAGACAGATCTGTTGTGCATTCTTCATTCACATCCGTCGTGTTTGCTGTGTTATGTTTCTGCCTGTTTATTGAACTGACCGACTTTATACTTGGCTGCACACACTCACTTCATCATTAATCACCAAAAATGAGCACAAAGTACCAAACATTCACATATTCCAGCTTCTTAAATGGGAGCATTTGCTGCTTTTTTGTTTTGTATGATAATAAATTACAGGTGAAGTACTGAAGCTCTCAACATGAAGCAGCCAAACATTTGTCTTCTGACACCATTTAGAGTCCAGTTATTACATTCACTTCACCACACCTAGTGATTTAAAGCCAATGTTATTAACTAGCTGCAATCACTTCTGCTGATTCACCCCCATAATTACAGAGCCTGATACATAGCCCAACTTATTGCCAAACAGGGGGAATGAATCCTTTTCTCTGTGATCTACAGGTTCTGTCTGATGGGCACCAGAGTCTATAGTGGTTAGTCAGAGCCCTTTCAGTTCAGCAGCCCTGCTGGGAAAGTCCCAGTGTTTCCTCACTGTTGCGTACACAATCCAAGACCAAGCTTAAGGATTTATCTGCTATTTCTGATAATGATATTACGATGTTATTAAGGCAGTGTGTTTCTTCTGAGCACATGACTACTTCATACTTCATCTGTGGGACAGACACCAAACCTCTCTCTAAGACCTGACCTGGCTGACAGTCAGCCAGGTTTGAAGTTTGATATTTCAGTATGATCGGAAAACACTGCTGGTGCCACGTGATTTTGGGGTTGGTGTTCTCTCTCTGATGTTCTCTGATATCTCACAAAATGTATGTGTATCATTAGAATCAGTTGATGGTTCTACTGGTCTCTGTGTCTGCAGGCAATAGGAAGAATGAAGCTGGAGCTCAGATGGAGTTTAAATCCAAGCAGTGGTTCGGTGCCTCGGTTCGATCTAGTGGAGAACACATCCTGGTAAGAAACACTGCACAGACACGCGTGTGTGAGGACCCTCGCTGGCATCATGCACCCTCTAGCCCCTTACCCTAACCCAAACATGGTTTTAACCTAAAACCTATAACCAGGTCTGAACCCTTAGACAGCCTTTTGAAGAGCTGAGGCCCAGACAGCATGTCCTCACATGTCTTCGTTCTGATGACACTTTTAGCACTGAAAAGCTTCAGTCTGCGTTAAACATCAATCAGTTGTCCATGTCCATTCAGCTTCACTGACCTGAGCGTTCACAGATGAGTTAACCGCTGTAACCCGTAACTAGTTATGGATAAATTAGTCTCAAAATCACTGTGTGTGTTTTCCAGGCCTGTGCTCCCCTGTACCAGTGGTCAACCCTTGGTGTGTCTGAGCGAGAGCCAGTGGGAACGTGTTATCTGAAGAAAGAAGGCACCGTGGTCGAGTACTCACCCTGCAGATCAAGTTTGTCCTGTTCTCCTCTCTGTCCATCTTTTCTAGAGTTAACCTGCAATAAATGTTTGAACCACTGGTGTTTACAGAATCAGTTAACACCAGGCTGAAGCGGTGTTTTGCTGTCCTCTGTTGCTGGTTTATATGCCTGTTTTACCCTCTGGGTTGCACTTGTAACCACACCCAACGGTTATGTCACAGTGTACTGGACTATACATGTACATCACTGCAACAAAGTGAGAAGTGAAGTGACCCCAGAGGTCAGCAAAACAAGTTGTGTTGCTCTTTAAGGGTCTGAATGTGCAGCTCCCCTCAGCTCGAAGTGGCATGTTTACAGTTAAATTTTAATTATCATTTTGTCATCTGTCACCTCTCCTCCTGTTACACTGGATTTAATGTTGCTGTTCTGTTTCTCCATCCAGGTGCCAGATTCCCAGAGGGCCAGGGCTTCTGTCAGGCTGGCTTCAGCGCCGACTTCTTGAAGGTATGTGAGACTGATGGAAAGTGACAGGATCACCAGAGTTGCTACAGTTCATCCTGAGAGGAACAGGAACGTCTGAACCACATTTCATCACGATCCATCCCATTGTTGTCGAGATATGCCGACCTGATGGTGGCGCTAGAAGAGAAGTTAGTTGTTCAGAAATTGTACTGACACGGGATCAGATAGACATTTTGAAACAGTAGCAACATATGAGCCTGCTTCAGCCACCGGTCGTCGCAGCTGATGTTCAGGTGGACTGGTTTCAGTCGGAGGGAGTAGCAGCGTCAGGCTGTGTAGCAAAGCAGTTTTATGGCTGTGCACGTGTTTGAGCCTGTCTGTGCAGAGGTGTTAATCATTAACCCCTTTAATCTCTGGCAATAACATTGTGTTTACTGACTGAAGTGACTGAATAAGACGTGAAAGTTAATAAAATCTTCCATTTTCTCTCCTTGTGGTTTCAGAAGAACAATAGAGTGGTGGTGGGAGGACCTGGCAGCTACTACTGGCAGGGTGAGTGTGCAGTCTCAGAATGAAACACAGACAGGTCACATAGCTATGTTTACACTTCCTGCCCCTCTACCCTCACTTTTTAGCAAACATTACAGGAGCAGGATTCCCCCAGCTGACAGACCTGACTGATGGTTCCCCTGTGGGCACTGGGGCAGTTTAACAAACACAAACTTAGCTGAGATGTTTCTAAACTCTGTACCCTTCACAGTTTAGTGGCAGCTGAGCTTTGTATCTGCGTGTCCACAGGGACTGTAAATGTGTTTGTTCTTCCTGTCGGTGTGTGTTTTGGTCCCTGAGCGAGTATCTGTACAGCTTATGAATGGGTCCAGAAGAGATGGGAGATGAATGTTGGTTATTGTAGTTCAGTTGCTGCTCAGCACTTGGAGCTGTGACACTGTGATGAAGCTACTTTAAATCCTTTCATACCTGATTGCTGCAGCTTGAGAACAATTTTCTAGGCCTTCTCTTGGGACGCAAGTCAAATCTGCACACACCTACATGATGCACACATTTAGAAGGTGTTTTGTAGTGCAGCTCATTTACTCAAGAGTAATTATCCATTGTTGTCTTATTTGCAAACTGTGAAGGAGAGTAAATGTTGAGTCATACAGACTGACAGGGCGCTCATTCACCGGACTGATTGTCGTTGTTGTGGTGACTGATGACACTTTACTCAACCTGATGTGTTTGTCTGGTGTCTCTGGTGTCACAGACCTGTCATAAGGGAATGACTGGAAGCGATATCAGTACTGGTATTGTTCCTGCAGACAGACTGCATGTTATCAGTAATGGCCAACAGGTAGAGGAAGTAATATCACATGTTGGGGTGTCACACATCTTAATGACCTGCCAAAGCGCATCACAGTCTGGACTGCTTTGTCTGCACTTACCTGCTGGTGCACACATGGTTTTGTGGTTACCAAATCATTCCCATAAATATATAAACATGCACAGATTGATTATCAGATTTCCCCCCCCAACAGAGGAATTTATTAATAGTTTAGCTTTTGACATTGTGCTAAAATCGCTTATCTGTGGTTGTTTCCTTTGAGACCACAAACAAATTCCATTTGCTTGAGGACCCCCCTTTTCTAGCAGTCTCCATCAGGTTGTTTGGTGTGCACTGGGGTCTAACTGGCAGCCATACAAACTGCACTGACCAGGAAAACACTGCAGCATACATCATCGCCGCCTTGAGAGTTTAATGAGTAGGTGAAATCCAGGCAGGGTGTTGTAATCCATGTTTGTGGCCAGACATTAGAGGGTGTGACACCCACAGTATATCCTGAACACTGACTCACATGTGCTTCCTCTCTCTTCCTGGGCTGTGTTAGCCTAATTATTGTTTCCTGTCGAGTCAACACTCAGTTACACAACCAACCTCACACCGACACACACCGACCTGTCTCTGACACCTGTTAACACAGCGTTCTCTGTGTCGGCTGTAAACATCCTCCTCATCTTGTTCTCTGTCACCTCCGCTCTGTTTGTCCTCTTTTATCCTCAGCTTTTCTCTAGTGGACGCTTCTCTCTTCACTGTCTTGGTTTATTGCCTCTTGTTGTTTTCCTTTGTTGTCCAGTTTTCCTCTCGTTCTCTCCCTTTCCTCTTTTGCTCTCCTCTTGTTCTCTAATGTTCTGCCCCTCTCTCTACAGGCCAGCTGATTTCCGATGACGTCTCGGAGATTTTTGCCCAGACTGACAAAAAATACATCACCTCGTACCCAAACACACTTGGCACCAAGCCAGCGGCCGCCGATTATGACGACAGTTACCTCGGTATCCACACCGTCTTTCACCGTTAAGAGCTGTGAGGTGTTCTGTTCCCATTTCAGGGTTGTCTTTAAACATCTTCCTTGGTGTTACCGCACAGAGAAGCACAGGACTCTCCAGTCCTGCATGTTTAGGTTTCAGTGCTAGTTTTATCTAAATTTCAGTTGTCATGTTGGCTCTGAAGACTACAATACCCATCAGCCTCAGCTGTCACTGCCATGAAGAATCCAGCCAGGGGCTCGAATCAGAGCAGAAGTGAATTTAATTTGTGAACCAAACATGTTGCCATAGTTAGAGTTCATCCAGATTCATTATGTAAGGTGAACTTATCTAATGACCTGTTTTTAACACGGCGACTGTTGATTTGTGAGCCTGAAAATGTCCAGTTTATACAAAGCCACCACAGTTTCAGAACAGTTTGACTTGATTTCTGAAGGCTAAAGTAAATACTACAAATTGATGTTGCTGTGAACATGATATTACTAATGTCACTCCGTGCACATGTGCAGCAGTTTGGTGCCTTGATGCACATCTGAGTAACTGTCTGACGTTTTCTTTTTATTGAAATGCAACTTTGTGTATGAAGATGTGAAGTTACAGTTGTTACTGATGAGCAGCACATAGTCAGCTCCATGTAGGATTGTTCCTAGAGGAGTTTGTAGCTTGACTCGGTGAGTTTCTGTGCCCACCAGGATACTCTGTGACAGTTGGAGACTTCAACAGCGACGGAAAGGACGGTAAGGACGGAGAGATGGAAGGAGATGACTCTCAGTTCAGTGTCTGATTTTATCACTAACATTGGTGCTTCAAGGAACTTGTGCTGCTTGTTGTGAAAACAGTTTGGGTTTGATAGAAACATCTTTGTGACTGCAACCAGTTTATTTTAGTCTATGTGTTTATATGTGGCAGTTTTATTCAGAACATACTGTTAGTCTGGACTGTAGAAGAACAAAGTGCTCCATGGAAATGCACCTGTAGCTTTTTGTCAATTAGTTGATCGACACAGCTATTCAGATAATTGATTAAGGTCATTGATCAAACTTCTCAGACTTGAGGGTTTCCTGCTTATCCTTACACTGCTGTCATAGTAAACAAGCAGTTTGTCATATAAAGCCAGCTGACGGACATTTTCCATGATTGTTAGATGAAAGTATTTCATCCATGAATCGATGGACAATGTCAGCTGTAGCCTCAGATACAAACCAGACTATTTAGAGTTTGACTCCTTGTGTCTTTTGTGCCCCCCACAGATTATGTGACCGGAGTACCTCGGGGGGAAAAGACGCTGGGATATGTAAGTATTCAGTGTGGGCTGCATGCACTCTGTACACCGCAGGGTGGACTCACTGAAATGTGGTGTATAACACAGTGACCTCGGACTCCTCGGCTGTGCTGAACAACCTTTGTTTGTAGTCGTTTCAGTCATCTGTGGCACCGAATGAAGGGGCTGGAGCAGAAAGTGCTGTAGGCCCGGTTTCAGCAGCTGGTTTTAAAACTCTTGCTGCTGAATCATGTGTGTGCAGCTCAACTGACATCCTGTGTTGTGTTTCGATGTTTCAGGTGAGCATCTTCAACGGCCTCAAAATGGAGTCCATGGTCAACTTCACAGGAAAGCAGGTGTGTATACTGGCTTGTGTAGAGCCTGTATTCTGACTGACACCAGCACTGCCCGAACAAGACACAGCACACATTCATTTTAATCAGGCTCCAGTAGGAAAGGAAAAGCACTGGGGAAAATGGACTGCAGTAAGACTGGTGATTATCTTCTGGGACTCTAAGTTGGTTCACTGACTCCAGGCTCTTACAGGTCATTTATGAGGGTTGTTGACAGAGCGAGACACGTGGGATCCAACGCTTTGATGAACACAGCTGTGGGTCTACAGTCAGTTTCCCTGACAGCTTCTCTGGTCCTAGAGCTGGTAACAACAGCAGAGAGTTTTTACTCCAGAACCAGGAGACCACACTCGTGGTCTACAAAAGATGTGTAGTCAGTAAGTTAGACATTCAGTTCATTATGTGGCCACAGGTCAGGCAGCAGCACACTTTCCCACAGTCTCATCATTTGATCAGGTAGTGACCTTCACCGAGATCAACACATCTAAAATGTATATTTCAGTGGAAACAAAAGTGTATTTTGTTATCACAAGAATAAATTTTGAAATGAGAATTAGATTGAAATGTAACATCAACAGCAAAGAGTGAACAGTCCCAAACTAAAAGAAAATGCAGTGTAGTTCAGCAAAAAGGTTAAAACCACCTTTAATTTAGCTGCAAACCGTTAAAGTCTGGCAACAGATTGTCGGTCAGTCAAATTTAGCTGTGCATAAACGCACTCTTGGCAGCCACCTGCTGGTCTTCTCCTGACGGTGGAGGTGGCGACCGAGGGGTTAAATATAACCGATTCTTAGTTTTTAAATGACTTAAATGATAGACATTTGTATCTAACATAAAGAATAATAGAAAATAAAATCTTTTACTTTTCCAAGTAAATCACAGTTTGAGCGAACAGCCCTACCAGTGAACAGCACACGTCACACTGTGTTGCGTGTCGTTTTTCTCTGTGCTTAGACTGGTTTGATATGGTGTCAGGAACCGAGTCACTAGGTTTTCTCGGGTACAGCGGTAAACGCTGAGCAGACTGTGAAACACCTCCCTGAATGTTGGTTGGAGGAAGGAGGCTGGAGAAGCAGGGAGTGGAGGGGAAGAGAGGCTGTCAGCAGCAGGCGTTGGTGTTATTACAGAGTTCCTCTGCACTTCCCAGTCCATCCTCTGTAACTCACCCTGTGAACCCACCAGGGCTCTTTTCCTTTTTGCCCTTTTCTCCCTCTCTCGCTCTTTTAAAGTTCTGTCTGAAGCCACTCTCAGACATTGTTCCTCTCTCGTCCTTTGTCTCTGTATCAAGGTTTCCATCCTCTCTTTCTTTAAAATTCTTCTCCTCTGTCTCCTCAAAGTTCTCTGTTGTCCCTGATGTCATGTCTAGCTCATGTTAGTCACTGGGCTGTGGCTCTGAATCAGCCTCTTTTCTGACCTAAACACTACTAACTCTGTAATTCTATAGTCAGACCAAAGTCCTGACCAGAAAGCAACACATTAGTCATCTCTGTTAAAAACACAATTCTGACCAGCTCAAATCGCACCATGCCCTGCAGTGCAGTCATACTATCGCATAGCAGGTAACCAGCTCCATTGCAGCTACAGTACTAGATGTTTAAATGGGGCTTTTGATTTACTGACTGTACTGAATGTTTCTTCTAAGCAGCTGGAGCTGTATTAACCCCTGAGCCGCCGCCTCCTCACCCGCCTGCTGAGTGAAGAGCTAGTAAAGTTAGACATTTCTTCTCTGATGTGAGCTGTCAGTGAATGTGATGTAGAAAGGCCACATGACGATAACACAGCAACATGTAGTCAAGTGTCGAGAATAGAAACCTACCTGCATCTTTGAGCTCCGTGTGTTATCGTTTACTGACTGTAACAGAGATGTATACATGTACAGTAAAGAACTGAGAGCTCCTCTCCTTTACTGTCTTGTAGATGGCTGCCTACTTTGGACATGCAGTAGCCGCTACTGATGTCAATAATGACGGGTAAGTGTTTGTCTTCACTGTCTGGCTTGGTTCTCTCCATCTGAGCAGTTGCGATTAATGGGGACTCAGTTAACCTGTCGCCGATCGTACTTCTTCACACACCCCTGCTGCCTCCTTTAGCTTCGATGACCTCTTTAACTCACATCTTGTCACTGTAGATGTGGCGTTTCATATGGCGTGGTGGCCATCTGAATGCAAAAGTTGTTCTAGTTCTGCAGCAGGACCACACATGGTACTATTTAAATATGGGGGCGCACATTTTCAGACAATGTTGGATTGATGATCTCAGAAATCTACAGAACTGGTCAGACACGGACGTCAGAAAGCTGTGGAGGGAGGGGGCTTCACATGCTGACTGGGGGCCTGATAAACTGTTCTGTTGCATTCTGACACCTTAACTGGGCTCCAACAGAAATACAGCCAGGCCCACCATCCATATTAGGGTTTGACATTAACCGTGACTGTTGGCCCGTGGCCACCATATGTCCCCAGCAGCTTCATCAGATCTCTGAGATCACCTATTTCACATACACACGTTTTAATTCTGTTAATGTCTTTTTGTTTATTGAAGTGTCACAGTTAAGCAAGACTGTAAGTTGCATCAAATAACATTTTCTACATTTTTATTCATTGATGTTAATGTTAACAGAACTTAAGGTTCTCGTAAATGGGTTTACCTTTTAGAGTTATGAAACTGCTTTGAGTACACAAAATGCAAAGGAATTGAAAAATAAAACGAATGGTGGTTTTTTTTGGCATACAGTGACCTGTAGCGCCATCCAGAGGGGAGGAGTTCACACAGTTTGTGTCCAGGGTGTGAGGGGTCTGCAGAAATTGAAGTTTAATGAAAAATGCTAATGTAATGAAAATGTGTCAGTGAAAACAACAACAATTCTTCAGTGCATCCAGGGCTGAATGCTTGACCTTCAATTTTTTTCTGTCATTTCAGTCTGGTCGACCTGTTGGTTGGAGCTCCTCTCTTCATGGACAGAGGGCCAGACGGAAAACTCAGGGAGGTGGGACAGGTAGGAACCACTCTTCCAGACCCAAGACATCTGACAGCTTACTGTGGCTGTTTATGTTTGTACTGTTCCTCCCTGCAGTGCTTAAAACACTGCTTATGTCCAGATCTCGTTACTTAGCCCTGTTTAATAAGTAGCTCACTACCACAGCTCTGCAGACTTTTATTAAATACTTTGCATCATGCTTTTTCACAGTGAAATATTCCTGCTTTTTCACCACTGGAAAACTGCTCAGGATTTCTCAGCAGTAGCTTTAGAGAGCTATTAATGAGATACAAGTTTAAACAGTAGCACTGGATTCACTGTTTGGCCACAAGTTCTGAATCTGTCAGTGTGTTGTGTTTACACCTTGTTTCTGCAAGTACAAATCACTCAGTGCATGTTTAAAGCCAAATGCCTGTGAAACATCTGAAACTTTACATTCACTACTTTTGCTTTTTGCCACAACTGTGTGCGTGCGTCTCCTCCAGGTGTCAGTGTACCTCAGTCGAGGTGGGTTTTCCTTCGACCCACCCAAGATGCTCACAGGTCAGAGCTTGGAGGTCTACGCCAGGTACGGCTCTGCCATTGCTGCACTGGGAGACCTGGACATGGACGGATACAATGGTAAGAGAGGCCACCAGTTACACAGCTCCCTGCTGAAGTGTCCATGAGTGAGGCTCTGCAGTCCGACCAGGTGCAGACCCTGACCTCCATAATCCCTCCCCCACCTCACGTTCCTTTTTGTCCTTCATCACCCCTCCAGATGTGGCCATCTCAGCTCCTTACGGAGGCTCCGACCACAATGGCTTAGTCTACATCCACAATGGCCGCCCTCAGGGGCCCGACCCCTCACCTTCCCAGGTAAATACCACAGACAGGTCCAGCGTCCAGCCTCTGGTCCTTTTCACCTGGCGCCATCATCAGGTCAACGTTTTCATTTGTCCAGTGGTTAATGACCAGAGAGCGGTAGCCTCAGCTGTACTTTGTGAAGCTGGCATTTACAAACTGTATTCACTGTGACATCTCTGTAAATGAAGTCAGGCTCTAAAGTGGAGCCTATCGTGCATTCTTGTAAACAGATGAATGTCTACTTTAAAGTTCTGCCTCCTCATTTATGCTAGTCAGCTTAACAGTCTCACCACGAGTCCATTCAGAAGCTGTGAGTGGTGTCACCCTCGTCTCTCAGGTCCTGCAGGGCAAGTGGGCGTCCAGCTACATGCCTGCCAGCTTTGGGTACTCCATGACCGGAAATACTGACATAGACCGGAATGGATATCCAGGTACACACACTTGTAGAGGCACAGCAGGAAGTAGTGACCGTTTGTGCTGCTGCTGTTTAAAAGGCTGGTGTGTGTCTGTCTTCCAGATTTAATAGTGGGAGTGTTTGGAGCAGACAAAGCTGTTTTATACAGGTAATCAAAGAACAGACTTTGTGTTTGTGTGTGTGTACACCCCTACTGCGTCTCTATGTGTGTCTCTGTGCTGGAAGCTGAGGAGTTTAATGAGCTAGGCCACTTCTGATATCAGAGAGCTGCTGCGTCCCTTTACAGTGGAACCCTGGATTGCGAGTATAATTCGATCCGGCAACGTGCTCGTAATCCAAAGCACTCGTATATCAAAGCGAATTTCCCCATAAGAAATAATGGAAACCCAGATGATTCGTTCCACACCCACTTATCCATATAAAAATGATTACAGTGATACAAAATACAGTATAAGGTAAAAATAAAACAAATTAACCTGCACTTTACCTTTGAAAAGAATCGTGGCTGGCGTGAGGGGCCATTGTTGCAGCACAGATATTGACTATACGAGTGAAGCGCTAGAACGATTGGCTCAGTTGTGACATAGGTCACGTGACTCTCGGCAGACAAGGCGTACGTACTACTCGTATTGCGAGACCTCGCTCGTATATCGAATCAAAATTTTTTTTAGTCGTCTTGGGAAATACTCACAAACCGGGTTACTCACAATCGAAGGTTCCACTGAACTTTCCTCCTGCTGACTTTATAGACACTATTAGGGCAAACTGAACCGC